AGATTTTTAAAACTGTTCTAATATACCATGCAATTGATCATAAAATGCAACATCTAATTTTATTAATCATACTAATTACTATAGTCATAGATCTAAGATAGGCCTAGGCGTGTGTGGCACAGAGGTGCGGGTTAGTTAGCTCGCAATATAACCTTTTTCCTTTTGCAAATTAAATTGTAGAACATTTTATTTGAAGTATTAGAAAAATAAAAATAAAGGTGTTTGAAGTATTATCTCTATATCAAAAATATTTCCTAATTTTAGTGTAAATTGGTACGGTACATGAATGAAGAAAGGCATTTTTTGCCCATTTGTAACCTTTTTTCAACTTAACGTCACACAGTAGCTATTTAATCTTTTGCAATAATCTAAAAATATTTTGGAAGGAGATATCTTGTTCTTTTTTTTCATATAATTTTTATATACGTGTTCATTTTATTAATTTCATAAACGTAAGTTTCAAAAACGTCAATTTCGCGTGTCACTGTGCGTACGTACTGTCGAAAGCTAGACCGGAAGTAAACAACCCCTTCCCCTGCGCAAAAAATATGCGCACGAACCAGACGCAACATCACGTAAAGGGCTAAAGACGAGTCGGCAATCATACGGTATTATCTATGGTGCCAATGATCTTCCTCAACTCAAATCTTTATTGGCAAATATCTTCAAGGAATTCTGCACACATGACTATCACACCAGTTTCAAACATCATCTTTTATGAAATCACATTTCTGAAATACATAAAACAGTAGAAAATCAGTCATAAATTAATTTAAACCGTTTTCAGGTATCCAAATATATTCGTAACTAGGCAGTGACAGTGTCAGTAGCCTATGTTTTCTTTTTTGGTAGGCTAGCTTCACTCACCAATTTGTATTAATCAGGTGGATTTTTAAAAAAAAAAATCATGCTTTCAAAATCTGACTAGCATGATCTACCTAATAAAAAGTCATTAGTCACAAGGAATCGCTTGAAAATACAATGAGGGAGTCGAATACAGCAGCTGAAATATAGGCCTAATCATTATCATTTATGCCAAAATTGTCATTTGTTGACAACACGTCAGAACAGCTACATACAGGCATAGATATTTCCGCGCACATGCGCACGGCGTGCGCAGACACAATTGCTTTAAAAAAAAAATTTGCAGGCACATTTTTAAAGATGTAGCCACCCCGGCGGCGCCTGCGCCCGGCACTATTTTTTGCCGCCCAGCACAAAGAAAAAATCGAAGAAAGCCGCCCAGTCGTATTTAAACCCCTTCGTCCTTCTCTGTACACAAACTCGGCGCTCAAAATTTACCACGGCAATTAAACGGCAAAGCCATGGTAAAAGCCGATGTACGCAAACCATGTCTGTCACGGCATAATTTATTTTTGTGTGCCGTAGTAGACCCTATCATCCCAAATTAGTTTAAAGAAAGATGTATTGGTATTTTGTTTATTTATACTTAGAAGATGTGTAGGCCTAGGTATATTCATTTTACAATTATTCTACGGTCTTTATATTTGTTTATTTGCCGTAAATAGGTCACCCAGACCAATTTACGGCACTCCAATGATACAGGTTTGAATGTCGTAATTGTCCAACACGTGCCTGCAAATTTTCATGAGGTTTCTTATTTTATTTCTTACCTGTGTTGACCGTGGATTTGCTACGGCCCGAGAGTAGGACTAGGAGGACGATGAGAGCTTTCTCAGTTTCTGCCTGACCTGATTCTCATTCCACCGTAATAATAATATTCGTGAGACACGTACAACAACTTTACAAACAAGTCAAATAATACAACGTGTTTTAATTATCAATATCTACCTGTTGTCATAATTCGTTGCAGTACTCAAATAAAACACAAACACCGTTTTAAGAATCATTTTAATTTTTAATCTCAAAGTAATAAAGTAATATTTGAAAAAAAAATCCAACAAAACAACAAATACCGAAAGGTCCTCAACTATCCAGAGAAACAGAGTAGGGTGGGACAATTTTATGCTTGGTCGGGTGGTGTCAAAAAGTTTTTAGATCCCTGTATCATTGATGAAAATTAAGTGAATTTGGTCAAATTTGAATATATAAATGGAAATTTGATTTGCACTGAACCAAATACAAAAGGCAGCAGATGCTCTGAAAATACACCAAGAAGGGTTTATTTTCATAAAAGACCACGCTCCCCTCCCAAAAAATTTTTGGACTCGCTCCGCTCGACAAATATATATTTATACCCCACTCATCAAATCATGGCTACATCCCTGTGTTTCAGTATGACCCTGCAGGCACATTTTCAAGTGTGTGCGCAGGCACACTCAACTTTTATAGAGCCCTGCATAGCAACCACTGGCATCTTAAGACTAGACATCATTGTCATGGTTTATACGGTATTTTAGAGGATGTAAGTATGAACTGCAATTGTGTAAAGAGGAACTAGCTACAACATTGTGATAACAGTCTGCAAAATAAAATAATAAATGCTGGAAACTTACATGAAACTCCCGAAGCGAAGTCATTTTTGTTGCCAAGAGTTATTCCTCTTTTAGTCTCGGATAGCAGGGCGGAATTATTTCAATCACGCTGACACTCGTCTCGAAATACCGCAATAAAAAATACTAATTTCTCGTTCTTTTAAAGATCTTCAAACGTTAAAAATATTTTGTTGTTTTCGATATCCGAATAACATTTTCTTTCATAATTCATTTACCAGCAACTCGAGACTCAAAAATTTTAGATTTGCAGGTAAGCAAGAGACCGTCTATTGAAAATATTTTGAAAAATGAACGCAAGCGCGTGACCAAATAACGACTTTTTAAAATGGGTGTAAAAATGTTTTCTAAATAGTTCCGAAGAAAATCTCCAAATATTTGTGCTACAATATCGATAAACACATTCCTGTTACGTATTTATCGGGAGTTTATTGTCCATTTAACCATGCTTGAATTATCCATTAGAACAACTCGACGCTATCGCGTCTCGTGTTCTAATGATTCAAGCATGGTTAAATGGACAATAAACCCCCTCTAAATACGTAACAGGAAGTGTTTATCTCCTAAATATAGATAAAACAAACGCTATCTGGATGGGTCGATATGCAGGTTCAAAAACAAAAATATGTAATGAATTTAAATTCAATTGGCCTGAAAACAAGTTTACTTCTCTTGGTATCAATTTTAGTACAAATTTAGAAGAAATTTCGGATCTTAACTTTAATGCAAAATTGGAGTATCTCGAGAAACTAACATATATTTGGACCAAACGGAAACTGACTTTAATTGGAAGAGTCACCATTCTTAAGAGTTTAATCCTACCGAAAATAAATCACTTGTTCTCGGCATTGCCCAACCCAGAATGTTCTGTTCTCAAAAAGCTTGAAAAAATATGTTTCAAATTTATATGGAATCATGGGAATGACCAAATTAAATGCTCAAGAGTTATTAAATCAGTTGAAAACGGAGGTCTAGATTTTACTTATGTCAACGCATTCAATAAGAGTATGAAAATATCTTGGATCAGAAGATTACATAGTCAAAACAGTAATTGGAGTCCTTTTATAGACCATTATTTGAAAATACCCCCCTTTGAAATTTCCGCAGTAGGATCTAATCTAAACTCCAAAATACTTGAAGTGATAGAAAATCCATTCTGGGGGGACACCTATAAAGCATGGGTTGAGTTTGTTGAGAATATTCTATTACAACCCATCTGGTATAATAAAATAATCAGATTTAGATTTATCAAAGACTGGTTCTAAAAGGGAGATAGAACTATTAATGACCTCCTAAATGATAGAGGCATGATAAAAACATTTGACAACATAAAGGACGAATTTGGACTGAAAGGTTCATTTCTTCACTACAACGGGTTGATAACATCTCTCCCTAAAAAGTGGAAAAATATGATATTTGACCACGTACATTCCCATTTACAAAAACCGTGCTTCTCGAGACCTATCCAGATCGTACTTAGTAAAGCTAAGGGCTGTAAACATATATATAAATTCTTAAACAATAAGGATCCAAAGGAAAAAGAATGCAAAAATGAAATAAAATGGATGAATATCCTTAACCTAAATCTGTCTCGAGGACAGTGGAGAAAACTATATGCTCTACCAAAAAAAGTGACATTGGATACAAAGTTGCTAGAGTTTCAACTCAAATTTCTACACAGAATTGTTACCACAAAAAAATATCTTTACACCATCAATTTAAGCAATGAGAAACAGTGCTCAATCTGTGGGGGAAAATATGAAACTCTTGAACACTTATATTATGAATGCTCTGAAACTCAAAATATTTGGACAAAGATGTCTAATGCTCTTGAAAAATATGGATTTCTTGATGTCCATTTCACATGTAACGATATAATGCTTGGTAAACAGGAGACACCTCCGGTTGTCAATTTTATTATCATATGTAACAAATATTACATCTTCCGAAGTAGTATAACAGGCAACTCCCTTAATTTCCAAGCTTTATTGAAGTTTATCCATTTATATTACAGAATTGAAAAATATATATATAGGAAAAATGAAAACATGCATTTTTTAATAGAAAATGGAATATGATTGCTAAGTTGTTTGATAATATGTAAGATTATTTTGAAAACTGCATACTGTAGCTTGATGAAAAGAGATATTTGTGATAAATGTACATTTGTGTGGAACAATAAAAAATATTTAACAAAAAAAATGTAGATGTATGTTATAAAACATTGGTTCAAGCGTAACACTTCTAAAACATTGGTTCAAGCATACATGTATTATTTATTAGCATATGTGTCAGAAGACTCGTATATAAAGTATTTTAACAACTGGTTAACAGAAATAAATAAATTAAAAGTAGAATAAAAAAGTTCAATGAGTGTCGGTCACAGGATGTAACAATAAGGCCCAGTGGGTTTCCTCCAGTTCAGCCATAGACTTCTTAAAACTAGTACATTCATCCACATAATGAAGTTTACAGGAATTGTTTAATTATAATATTGATGTTAATTATTTGTTGGTTTTTTTTCAGACTGTAATGAGGGAAAAACCAGAAATTCGTATCCCAGCAACATACCAATAGCATCCTTCATACAGCCATCTCCAAATATGGTACCATTTCAAGCCTTCTGTAATTTCAAGAGCGGACTTACATATATACAAAGGCGCAGTTCGGCTTGTTCAGCCATCAGTTTCAATCGAACATTTGATGAATATGTAAATGGTTTCGGTAACAGTGAAGCGGAGGTTTGGTTGGGTTTAGACAAAATTAGAGCCATCCAGGAAGCGAATGTTGGGAATATTCTAGGATTAGAAATAATGCTATTACTACAGAACAACCCCAGTGATCCTTATAAAAATGCTTTGTACAGATCTTTTACTGTTGGTAATTCTAGCACTAACTATGCGTTCCAGGCACAATATTTAAACTATGGCGACGCTGGTAATGCTCTTCTTGATTTCCCAAATATCTACAACAGCCAGTTTTCAACCTATGACAGAGATGTTACTAGTTTTGACTGTCCGGCATCGTTTGGGGGAGGATGGTGGTATGCAAATGAATCGGCTTGCTGCCAAGCTAATATGAATGGCCCGCAGGTTAAATGGCTCGATAATTTTGGAGGCAAATTCATATATTATTCCTTTTTGGGTATTCGTGTAATGTAATGTAACCGTGGTAATATAACTGATGAAATTACAACTACCTTTTTAATGTTTTGATTACTTTTAAACCGTTTTTTACATCTTAGTAAAGTGACTCTTAATATGAAGAACATATAACGTATGCATGCCATAGTATATGGATTGTATTATTATTTTTTTAGTAAAACAAAGAATAACGTTCATTGCTTATACTGTAGCACAAAATGGAAATTTCTTGGATTTATGATAGGCCGAAAAGCGGTGTCGTGGGGCGACTCACTGCTAGTCCGACAACGGTTGTATGAACAATTTAAGCCTCCTAAAGCCACTCTGACACTTGCACGATCTTCGTTCCCCCATTTCGGCGTGTCAATGATTAAAGTTTTCGGTAACGAGCGCGAGGAGTGTGTTTGGAGAGTGCAGGCGTGCGCGCCATGTCGTAGAAAGAATTTTGAGATTTTCAAAAATTCGACACGCATCACTGTTCGATGCCATGTGCGTGCCACTTGCATTAACCATGTGTGAACACTGCGAAATCGACGCGAACAGTGCGTGTCATAGGAATCCACTACAAGCGCTGACAAACAAATCTCAACACTATAAATTACGCAATGCCACTACTTGTTTATGCATAGGTTAAAGGACAATATTTGTGCCAGTCATTATCACATATGTGATAGATCTGGTTAAACACATTCCAAATATAATTTTAACACAGAGATCATTGTTACGATAGCTGAGTAATACAGGGTTCCTGAATCGGAAGTGACGAACGCCAAAGGAAAACACGAGTCATACCTCTATATAACTGACTGATGTGACGAGTGATAACAGATACACGGTCGAATTTCTGCTCACTTATAATTCCTCCGAAGACCAAAAGTTGTTGTGTGAGACTGTGAGAGGATATCTGTCAATTCATAAAAAGAATTAACTGCCACTAGATAAGAGAACACGAAAGAAAAACAGAAAAAGTCCGTGCATTACCATGTTTTTATGAGGTATAGAATGAATATAAACAAGGGAATGTACGGACTATTTCTATTTTTCTCGTGTTTTCTTATCTAATGACATTCAATTACTTTATTGAATTGTCAGATATCCTCTTACAGTCCCATATAGCAACTTTTGGTCTTGGAATGAATTATTAGTGAGCAGAAATTCGGCCGTGTATCTGTTATCACTCGTCACATCAGTCAGTTATACAGAGGGATTACTCGTATTTTCCTTTGGCGTTCGTCATTTCTGATTCAGGAAACCTGTATTACTCAGCTATCGTAGCAATGATCTGTGTTAAAATTATACATTGTATTTGGAATGTGTTTAACCAGCTCTATCACATATGTGATAATGACTGGCACCAATTTTGTCCTTTAAGTATTGTTAGCACATTGCCATGCAGTGTCACGCACACCACGCATAGTGCTTGGCGGCACGCTTATCCTTTTAATTTTCCAAAATTCGGCACGCATCAATGTTCGTGCCCATGCGTAGCACGACGTGTCAGCGCTTGTAGTGGATTCCCATGACACGCAGTGCTTGGGCAGATTTCGCACAGTTTTCACGCTATATAAGAAACCTCATCTCTCAACCCTCCGTTGAACGGGAAAACCATCGAGTTTAAAGACCAAACCAAGTTCCTTGGCGTAATCTTTGACCGAAGGCTGACCTGGAAACCGCACATCGACTGGACTGTAGATAGATGCACCAAAATCCTAAACTTAATGAGAAAAAAACCGGGCAAATCGTGGTGAGCCAATAGAGTTACATTAATGATGGTGTATCGTGCTCAATACGCTCTGTATTAGATTACGGCTCTATGGCCTTCATGAACTGTGCGCCAACATTCTTAATTAAGCTTGACACCATCCAATACAAAGCTCTGTGTATTGCGACTGGCGTAGGGCCTGGGAATAGGAGAGAGGCATTGCTACAGGAAGCCGGGGAGTTGCCTCTATCCCTAAGAAGAAAAGAACTAGCGACAAGATATTGGGCTAAGATCTCGCAACTGGGCGAAAGATTCCCAACCTTTGTCAGTCTAAAAAGACAAGATATGTGAGAGATTCTAAAAAGAAAAGCTTTGGCCAGGGTATCAAGGAAACAGCCAAGGAGCTGCGACTGGAGGAGCTCGCGATAAATGAACGCGACCCTCCAGCAATCGCCCCTTGGACACTCCCAGTACCCCCAGTCAATCTAGATCTACTACAGAAAACTGACAAGAAAAATAACCCTATTGCTGCACGAGCTTTCTCTCTAGAATACGGACGGCTCACACAATCCTGAAAGGGGCACCAGCTCGTTTGGAATATACCTGCCAAACGGGGAACAGGGAATAAGCAGGAAACTGTCCAATAACACTGCAGAGATTGTGGCCATCTGTGATGCTATATCATGGATCTCCCATCGAAAGACTAGTAAGTTCGTCATTCCGATCGACTATTTCAACCCAAAACGACAACTCGGACTCACGTCCAGAAGTCGTTTTGGAAATCAGGCAGCTGTACCAGAGGGTCCTAGACAAGGGAAGCAAATTAGAGCTCGTGTGGATTCCATCACATGTGGACATCAGAGGAAATGAGGAGGCAGATCGACTCGCCAGCGAAGGTCTCAAAGACACAGCACCACTCCGCACTATAGAATACAGCACCACGGAAATCTACAGTATGGTAAAATGACAGGCCAATTCAATCTGAGAACTAAAGCTCGTTGAACTTGACACATACAGATTCCGGCTGGAAGACAAGATCTACACGAAAACAGCGATCAATCACCCTAGAAGAGATATATGCAAACTTATATCGAAACTAAGGGTGAAAGAGCAGCTGCGAGACTTCAAACACCAAGCCATCGTCTGTGAGTGCGGAGAAGAATGTACCACCAACCATGTCCTAGTAGACTGTGAGGTATACAAGGAGGAGAGAAGGGGACTAATGGGGATGATGGAGAACAACAACATACCGCTCAACACTAAGAACCTACTCTTTCCGAGACCAGATCTGAAGCTGCAAATCTTCGAACTAATCCACGATCTAATGACCACGGTTGGATTAAGTAGAATAGTGAAGAAAGAGAGGGTCACGATTAGACGGGCTCGGCATCTAAACACTAAACTACACAGGGGAGATAAACCAAATTAGCAGGATAGTGGAGTAAGGGAGGGTCACGGTCAGACGGACTCGGCATCTAAACACTAATCCGCTAAAAAAAAAAACCCCCACCAAAACCGGCAGAGTGGGACAGTGGAGTAAGGGGGGGGGGCACGATAAGACGGGTCTGGCACCTAAACACTACGTTCTCGTAGCTAGTTTCACGCAAGTGGCACGCACATGGCACAAACATTGATGCATGCCGAATTTTGAAATTTTCAAAACTCTCTCTACGACATAGCAAGCACGCCCACACCCTTAGCACACTCCACGCGCTCGTTTTCGAAGAATTTAATCATTGACACGCCGAACGACATTGCGGAAAGAAAATCGTGCAAGTGCCAGGATGGAATAATGGTAATAATCATGAAAAATAGTCGCAAATTTGATACATAAATAACGGGGGTATCTTTAAATAAATCGTTGTTGATGGGTGTAAAAAGTTATTCATCTTTTTAATCTAGAGTGCCCCACTATTTTGGCGGATTACACTGGGGTTGGCTAAAACCATTACTCTCAAAGGAGTAAGGATGTTATAGTTTAATCATTTCTTTAATTGATAGTTTAATCATTTCTTTAATTGATAGTTAAATCATTTCTTTATTTGTCAAGTTCAGTCTGCTAGATTTGTTCTGTATAATTCTTATGGCTGTTTTAGAATTTAAAAGGTTTATTATCATGGTTTAGTTTTTAAAAGACATTCATTTCTCATTTTTGATCTACACGTGGAGAGGTAAACAAGTCTTGATCCGTGGCTAATATTGAAGAGAAATGTTGTTCCAATTCGCTACAGGAAATATTTGAATCTTCATTAGAATGGTTTATATTTCCAAATATTTTATTTACAAGCTACCAATAACCCCGTGTATTGTTGGTTTCTAATGCAGTAAATCCATACAGCTAGTGCAAAATGTTTTAGTTCCATAAATGATCATCCCATATGTTATGTTATAATTGTAAAACTTTTGCTTAAATTGTAAACTTTGTATAAATATACTGCCCATGATGGTTGTAGTGATACAATAAATCTTATATTATCTCATCAAATGAACAAGTAATCTGTTTATTTTGTCTGTAAACTCTTGTCTGTAAACCCTTATCTGTAAACTTAATCATGAAATGAAGTCCAGATATTGAGCACAATGTTTTCATGTTTATGTTGGTGTCCACGCAAACTTAAAAATGCAACAAGTAATTTATTATCTCAATAATTACTTAATTGTATTAATGTTTAAGCCTGTCCATGAAAAACTGGTAAGCGTTAAACACTCGCATCTAGGTGACATTTCTACCAAAAGTGACATTAATTTAATTGGGGTGGGGTAATAGTAACACAAGAAGTAAGACATAATTCAAGTGGTATTGGGGTTTGCATAAATAGCTTGAGCAGTTGGAACGCAATTCTTTTAATTTTTTTAGAAAGGATTTTCAGCAAATTTTGAATAAAAATTCATTGCTACAGTCACTAGTTAGACAAGAACTTGACGTTTATCTTTGAATTAAGAAATCAACGCTATAAAACTTTTAGGGAGGGCTGGGTGACCCCCCAAAAATGCCACTCATGAAAACGTCAATTACATGCAAAGTCCTTTTTGCATTTTATTCATATTTGGTACAAATAAACTTTAGTCTATGCCTGACATTTCTACCCAGTTTCAAAGATTTTGGTTTGATCATCATTTTTTTATGTCCGTTCCAAGATATGCTCTAAATGTCCACCTCTGCGCTCCAAGCAGACCTGAATCCGACGTGCAAAATTGTCAATTACTCTCACACACTCCTCCCTAGGGATTCTCCTGCTTTTGGCAGTGATGGCTGTCTTCAGTTCAGGGATAGTCTGGGGATTGTCCTGGTACACATTATCTTTGAGATAGCCCCACAGATAAAAATCTGGGGGGTTAAGGTCAGGCGAGTGTGAGGCCCATCAAGGATCACACCTTCTACTGATGAGATGGTCAGCAAAGCGCTCCCGAAGCCATTCCAGTGATTCATTTGAAGTGTGGGGCGTTGCCCCATCCTGCTGGAACCATTGTTCATCTCTCTGAAAACCTCTCCTGTTCAGGTTTGTCCAAAACTTCCTAAGGACTTGCAGATAGCGTTCGGTATTGACTGTGACTGCGCGTTCATTTTCATCCTCCAACCAGAAAGGTCCGATTATCCCATGTTTCGATATTGCACCCCATGCTGTGCATTTTATGGAGTGCAGAGGCCTTTGCAGACAGTCCTCAGGAGGTGTTGTTCCCCAGAAAATGTTGTTCTTTGAATTCACATGTCCAGACAAAAGGAAGTGAGCCTCATCAGAGAACCACAGAGGTGGACATTTAGAGCATATCTTGGAACGGACATAAAAAAAATGATGATCAAACCAAAATCTTTGAAATGGGTAGAAATGTCAGGCATAGACAAAAGTTTATTTGTACCAAATATGAATAAAATGCAAAAAGGACTTTGCATGTAATTGACGTTTTCATGAGTGGCATTTTTTTGGGTCACCCTGTATATTCAAATATGTCTAGTTTATGTAAATGTCCGGAAACCTGGAAATGAATACTTGTTACCTATCA